TAGTCTGAATACCTCCCACACCCCAGGCACAATCCTGAGCAGGGGAGATGAGGAAAGCAGCATTATTGTGGGAATCCTGAGCACACAGAGCATGAAAAGAGAAAAATCCCAAGGAAACAAACTCTTTGTAGCAACCCTTGCTGGGGAGAACACAGGTGGAGACAGCCCCAAGAATGCTCGGTGCCCTTACAGCACTGGCAGCATCAGGGGTGACAGAGCTTCAGGCAACAGTGCGTTGGTGATGGGGGAGTGCCTGCCTGACCTTTGAGCATGCCCCCTCTCCTTTCCTCCATGCAGGGATTCCAAGGCCAGCACAAGCTGCCAGCCCTCAGAGAGAGCAGCCAAACCCAGCCTAAAGAGAAGGGAAGTGACCCAGAGCAGCAGCATCCCCAACACGAGCAGCTGAGCACACAGAGGCTGAGAGTCCATCGCTGGAACCCCGGCTGTACATCAGAGGTTCATCTTTTAACAGCTTTGGCATCACCAGGGCTATCCATCACCAGCTCATTTTCCTCCTGTGCTGTTTGGAGCAGTGTCTGAGAGACACCAGAGCACCACCTGGCAGCACGGCTGCCAAGGGACACTACATGGCAAGGGGAATGCACACAGGTCTGCTCACTGCTGCCAGCCTCCACTGCCCAAAAAGCTCCCTCCCCTCAAACCAAGAGCACATGCTCTTAAGCCACTGCTCTCTCAGAGAACAAAAAACAGAGCACAGGCACTGGAGATATTTTCATGAACACTCATTCAGCACTATAGTGCTCTTTTTGAGAGGTTGAAGAAAGGGACAAAGAAAAAAAAATGTTTCTAGCCCACAGACATGCACAGCTTAGTCAGAACACAGACGTGGGGCCAGGGACATGCAACATGAGAGTGATTTAGTGTTGCAGCACTCAAAACTTGCTGCGAGACCTGCGAGGACACAGGCAGATCTGGACAAAGACAGACCCTCTGGAGCAAGGCAGCCCCAGCACGCTTTGGAAGAGAACCTGCACAGGCTCCAAGTTTTGCTCGTAGTGTAACCTGAGTACTTCTGAGTTGTTCTCACAGTGACTGGTGCTCTGTCACCGGGCAGCAGAGCCTAAAAGCAACTTTGCCCACATCTCATGGGAGCCACAAGCCCGGTGTGAAAGCAGCTGAGCTGAGGCACGGCTCTCAGCAAAGCTCATCAGCTAAACACAGGGTGAGGCCTCAGGAAAAGGCAGCCTGTGTGACACCCTGTGCAGCTCCAGGGGGACTAACTGTGGGGAAACGAGCAGGATTCCTGCACAGCGAGAGAGAAACCCCTCACGTGGGAAATGTGAAAGGACAGTGTGGCTAGGTTCAGCCCTGAACTCCCTCATTGCAGGAGCAACCTCCTCCTCCTTCTGCCCCTCCGTTCCTCTGCACCCCCTGCCGCATCTCCGAGGAATGCAGGGATCTAGTAAGAGGAACGCGAGCTCTATCTCCAGCTCCATCCTTCAGGTCTTTGTTGGGAGTGGGGGGAAGAGGGGGATGTGACACGAAGCAGGATGCAAAAGTGGAGCACTGGAGAACCAAGCACCTACAGCTTTAAATCCTCACTCCCCCGGCGCTCACCCGGTGCTCGATGCTCTATCAGACATCTGCAAGAGACAGCCTCTGACTTCTCATAAACCAGCACCTTACCCACAGAGCCAGCCAGGCACCTGCCGAGCGAGCTGGGCTGCCGGCGGAGGAAGGGGCACGGTCCCCGGGCAGTGCTCCGAGCTGGGCTCAGGCAGTCACAGACACCCGGGCAGTGCTCCGAGCTGGGCTCGGGCAGCCAGAGGGACCCGGGCAGTGCTCCGAGCTGGGCTCAGGCAGTCACAGACACCCGGGCAGTGCTCCGAGCTGGGCTCGGGCAGCCAGAGGGACCCGGGCAGTGCTCCGAGCTGGGCTCGGGCAGTCACAGACACCTGGGCAGTGCTCCGAGCTGGGCTCGGGCAGCCAGAGGGACCCGGGCAGTGCTCCGAGCTGGGCTCAGGCAGTCACAGACACCTGGGCAGGGCTCCGAGCTGGGCTCGGGCAGCCAGAGGGACCCGGGCATCGCTCCGAGCTGGGCTCGGGCAGTCACAGACACCCGGGCAGGGCTCCGATTCGAGCCCAGGCAGAGGGACCCGGGCAGGGCTCCGATCCCAGCTCAGGCAGAGGGACCCGGGCAGTGCTCCGAGCTGGGCTCGGGCAGCCAGAGGGACCCGGGCAGGGCTCCGATCCCAGCTCCCGCTCACTCGGCAGGGATGGATCCCAGCTCAGGCAGGCAGAGGGACCCATCTCCAGGGCAGCAGCAGAACTGCAGCTCCGGGCTCCTCAGCGCTGCCCATCCCTCAGAGCGCGGCTGAGAAGCTGCTGCAAAGGGAAGTAAGCTGTAGTGAATGCCTCAAAAGTAAGGAATGTTTCTCCGTTGCCTCCTCAAAGATAAAGGTTTGCAAGTTAAAGTTTTGAACTGCCTCCAACAACGAACAGAAACTGGTTTATTTTAGAAAATGAGGCACCCCCTTTTCTGGTCATTAAAAGAGCTTGTAGGTGATACATGAGTATCAAGTATCACCTACAAGCTCTAGCAAGTAATAGACTTTTGATACATCAGGCAAACTTGGCCAGATGCTAAGGAGCAGCCAAGGACATTTTGGCAAGCGAAGATGAGGATCTCGACACGCCTGCCGTTGATAGGAGGTGGCTGTGACCTTGCCACGTTCAACATCCTCTGTAAGCAAGTACCTTACCTGCCACAGGGGCTGCAAAATCTACAAAACGACAAAGTCTTTGCTGTCCTGGCTGCTCGTACGAGGCTTTTCGTGCCTCACTCTGCTGGCCTGGCGCTGCTCCCTCTCTGGCTTGCTTGCCAGCTCTCAGAAGGAACCCACCAGGCAAAGACCCATCACACCAACACCGATCTCCCCTGTTGCACTCTATAAGCCAGCTCTGGACCTGTGGTGGTGGTCACCCCTTTCCTGTGCTTTTCAAAATTATTCTTGGGATTTCCTTCTTTTTTTCTTTGCTTTTCTCTTTTATGAAGAAAAAAAAAAAAGTTGAATTATTGCTTTGTTTTCCAACATGTAACCTCATTCATGTTTTGATCTCACTTTCAGGTATGTTTAGAATCCAGTTCCTTTCCACAATTATGGATCAAGGCAACACTTGCCTGTCCTCACCTTAGGCCTCCCACTCTTGGGCTGGACTCTCGCAGGCCTGCCTCCAAGCCATGCATGCAGCTGAGCATCCCCACAGCTCTCTGCCCCTGGTGCCAGCACGCAGCCTCTCCCCCAGCACAGCCACCACCAGGGCTGGAGGGAGGAGAACAGATCCCTCTCCAGTGCTGTCCTGCAGCCAAAAGGAAGCAGAGTCCCCAGCAGAGCCCTTGGCTCTCTCCCAGCCAGCCCCACTCCACAGCAGCAGGGTCAGAGCTGCAGGGAGATGCTCGGTGCTGCTGCTGCCTCCTGTGCGTTCCCCAGAAGCATCACACACACCCAGGCTGGCCCCCACCAGAGATCAGCATCTGTCACAGCTCATGAGACCCAGCAGCACCTCACAGGCTGGGGAAACCCAGGATTGCCCCATTTGCTGTCACCTTGACACTTCACACAGCTCTGGTCCCTCCTGGTACTCCCACCCTGACAGTGGCTGTGAAGATAGGACATCAGAACCAGGCATCCAGTCCCACCCTGGAGCTGACAAAGGGCACTGCAGCAGGTTGTCCAGAGAAGTTATGGATGCCCAAGCCTCCAAAGCCAGGCTGGACAGGGCTTGGAGCAACCTGGTCTAGCAGAAGGCGTCCCTGCCTGTGGCAGGGAGGGGGACCTGGAGGGGCTTTAAGGGCCCTTTCAACTGAAACTATTCTGTGATTCCCCACCCAGAACATGGAGCACGTGTTTTCTTCACTGCAGCACAGACCCTGAGGCAGCAGCTCCATGCAGAAATCCCCACACACCCCAGGAAGGTGCTGTGCTTACAGGGCAGCCAAGCAGCCACCACAGGGCTATGGCTCTGGACACAGCACTCAGCCCTGTGGGCTCCACGTGGACAGACAGAAGAGCGCCCATGCTCCATTCAGGGCCCTGCATCCCTCCTGTGAGAAGCACTTGGGGCTCAAGGAAAGGCAGAGAGGGTCAGTCACGATATGATGGTCCAAGGCAGAACACAGGACACCCAGCCCTAGCTCAGTTTAGAGCCCTGCAAGATAAAGCTCTCTTTAAAGGCACTGGAAGCAAGTAGAGATGATGGCCACATGTCTAGAAAGAAAAGTGTGGTTTTTTTCCAGTCAGTGAAGCTCATTTTGCTTCAGTCCTGCCTATGCCAGAAAAGGAGAAAGTTTTCCCCAAAAGGAAAAAAAAAAAAAACAACAAAAGAACCCACAAAACCAGCAAAACTCAAACTAAACAACAGCAATAACAAAAACAATACACAAAAACAGCTAACAAGGAAAAATTCTCATTTGCACAAACCACCAGGAAAAAAACAAAACAACCCAACCAAAGGACAACAGCTTTGAAAATAGCTTATAAACATTAGAAGAACCCTTTACACAGTGCTAATTTGATCCTATTGACCCAGAGAGATTTAGCATCTACTCTGACCAGTATAAACTGATAACTTGGGCACAAAGACCCACCACAGTTAGGAAGCAGTTGAAGAACAGCAGGACAGTCAAAGGCAGCAGAGGTTTTTAGCAGTCAGGAATCTGAAAGCCATAGTAAGGGGTTTGGAGAACTGCAGAGAACCCACTATGCTTCCCACAACGACCCCAGCTTTGCCCAGGCACACCCTGTGGTCCCTGCTCCTGGCTGCACATGGTTGTTGACAAACAGCAGCTGCTCTTCCAACCCTCCCAAGCAATCCCCACGGCCACAGTTTAAAGCGTCTCACAATTTGTGATGCCAAGATTAAAGCCACGCCCCGTATTTCCATGCATTTTTTATTTGCAGGCAGACCGCACGGGGTTCCGCTTTCTCAGCTGAGAAAGAGCCGAGGCCTTTCCGGCAGGAGGAGGCGGCGCGCCCGGGTCACTCGCCGCCGGTGTACTTGGCCACGGCCTTGGTGCCCTCGGACACGGCGTGCCGGGCCAGCTCCCCGGGCAGCAGCAGCCGCGCCGCCGCCTGCACCTCGCGGCTGCCGAGGGTGGCGCGGCGCCCGTACTGCGCCAGGCGCGCCGCCTCCGCCGCCAGCCGCTCCAGCATGTCGCTCACGAACGAGTTCATGATGCTCATGGCCTTGGACGAGATGCCGAGGTCGGGGTGCACCTGTGGGACACAAACCGCGGCTCAGGGTCCCCCCCAGCACCTGCAGGGAGCGGCAGCTCCGTCCCCTTCGCTCCGACTCCGAAGGCACCCGCAGCTGCCGCCCCGAGGGTTTCAAACCGTGGGCCGCTTCAAACTCAGGACAGGCTCCCATAGTGCTGTAGGAGCTTGGGGATTGCACTGGCAGGAGCCTCCTCACAATCCCCGTGAAAAACATGGCTGTGAGGGATGGAAATACTCCCACCTCAACTCCTGTCTACAGGCTCATGCTGACAACTGTGGCCTGGAAAATTCATGGCCACTTCAAAAATGCTCTCATCTCCCCATCAAGAATCACCAGACATCTACTCACAGGGCCAGAAGCAGCTACTTCTACAGTACTGACTTTCATGAAATTACTTCTTCAGGCAGAGCTAAGCACCAGAGCTCATTCCCTCTAGGAAAAAATTTCTGCTCTGGATGCATCTCTACTACCCCTAGAACCCACCCCCTCAACTTCTAAGCTTCAGCTGGGCCTCTCCTGTACCTGCAATCACAGTGTTTTTTTCTTTCCCCATCTCTCTAGAAACTCAGATTTTTCTTTTCCACTCTCTTTATGTTGCTGACATACAACAGGCAGCAGTTACCTTACGTACAAGGTAATTTCTAGCAGGAAGAAACATTTACTCACCTGCTTCAGTACTTTGTAAATGTAGACTGAAAATGCTTCCTTTCTCTTTGGCTTCCTCTTAGATCTTTTTTCCCCAGAGGCAGCAGCACGACCACGTTTCTTCAAAGGTTCTGGGCTCATCTTAATCCCCAACAGAACAGCCAGCAAGTGCTGTGGGGCTGGTTATATAGCACAGGACTTACCCTGCCTCAGTTGCAGCCCCCAAGAAGCAGGACAAGTACACACCTGCGGCTGATGATTCCACTTTGCACTAAACGAAAAGCAGCTGGCCTGAGAGGAGCTTGGAAGTGACAGATTCAGCTAAACTTTCAGACCTGAGAAGTTTGAGTGTAACCGGGGCAAAGAGGGGCAAGAGCAGAAGCATCTGATTTACAGGGGACAGCATTACCAGAGAAGAGCCATTCCCAGGTCCAAAAGGAGCTTGGTGAAAGGAGGGATCTTGCTTTGGTGCAAGACTGTGAATTGGAATAGTCAAGGTACTCCAGAATCAAATGGAATCACATCTGTTCTATGGAACAGGTAATGCCATCAGGGGAAACGCAGTAACTGCAGGGAGCATAGGTCCAGAGATGAAAGGATGGCACTGTAAACATCCTGCCAGCCCAATTTCCCCTGCTACCTAGCCTGCTCTTGGGATCCCACCTGCTGCACACAACAGGCAATGTCAGGAGCAGGGCAGTGGAGGGCTGACACCCCAGGTGTGGATTGATCTGTCTTGGAAACCAATGATTACACTACTGAGGGTAAATGTGACACAGGATTTAGGCATAGCCAGGAAAAACGTGCAGCAGCATAGCAGGGACATGAACAAAACAGAGTTTTCTGTACGTTGGAGAGAAAAGGAAGCCTTTCAGCAGACATCACTGCAGCATTTCATAAAGGGGTGATACCAGTATGCTTGTGTGGTGGGGGAACACACCTTGTTTGGTGGGAGTCTCTGTGCTGGCAGGTGGAATCTCCTGCTTAGGTACACACATCACACTGGCACAGCCTGAGCAAACCACATCTGCCAAAGAGTGAGCCTGAGGGCCTACTCATCAGTCAGTGCTTCTGCTGCTGCTTGCACAGCCCACAGTGTTCCACTGAATCCCTTTATTCCCAGCCTGTCCTCGTGGGGAGGCACCTGATCACCCTCCCCTGGTGCCAGTGACTGTCACAGTGACAAGGGGGGCAGTGCCACAGCGAGGTTCTTGCTCCCAGACACTGAAACCTTAGCGATCAGGCAGTGCAGGCTGCAATGGTCGTGTCAGTGCATCTGTGAAGGAGAATGGGCTTGTGGAGATCTGGGATCCTCTTGAAACAGGAGTGACTAGTACTGGCAGTGAGGAGCAGGGGACATCACCACCTGTGCTTCCTAAGGGACCCTGTGTTGTCAGGAGCAGTACAGGGCCCACCCTGGGAGGGACATTCCACCACTCCTTGCAATGGGAGCTGTGTTTCCTTGGCCACAGCACACGGGGAGGACTCCTGTGCTGAAGGAGCTGGGGGCTGTTGTATCCCTCCCCAGCTACCACCTGTCTGTGACACACAGCCTTACACAGTGATAAACACACAGCTGTCTTTTCTGAAAAAAACCCATTTAGCTGGAAGGAGCCCCTGGGTGGAGGAACAGCACCTGGTCACTCAGCATTAGGCACAGAATGTCTTCACACACCAAGGGTGGAGGTGGTCCACAGAGCAGTACAGTCAGCCTTGGACCCTCAGGTTTGGGAATTACCCTCTGCTTCCCTGGACTGCATGGGCTAGAGGCTGTACAGGCTGCTGTGCTGGTTTGTGGGGTATGGATCCACCTGCAGCACACACACAAGGGAACCCCACAAGCCTGCACCTGCCCCCTCTGGCTGTGCTAGAGCCAACCTTGCTTGTGGACAAGAGGCAAGTGTGATTGTGCAGGCACTGGGTCATTTTAAGAAACGACCATCCTAGCACCTGAGCAACTCTTGTAATTTATCAACAGTTTTGCTTTTCTGTAAAACCAGAAAACTCTCAGCTGAAACAGCCTGAAGAGGCACTGCCTCAGCTTGTTGCTATCTCTGAGATCAGCGCTCCAGGACATGTGTCACCCACAGCTGCTCCAGCACAGCCCAACACACTGTCACCACACAACAAACCGAGGTTAAACCAAGGCTGCTAAAGCACATTTATGGATTCTATTTCACAAGTCCTGCCCTACTGTCACCCCTAGTGCAGCTACAGCTGCTTTTGCTTCAAACATGTATCTGTGGCCCTTGTTTATACATCAGAGACGTGTCTGCATCTGGGAAGTTCCTCCTCTTTGCAGCAGCAGAGAGGTGACAGTGCTCTTCCTGGCTCCATGAGCTACAACAACGCTCCAGCTACTGCCCCTGTCATCCCAGCATCCCCCAGCCATTCTCAGGATTTACCATTCCCAAAGAACTCAGTGTAAGATTGTATTTTCCATTTATTACTACAGATCTGAAATGTACTGAAATGTATTGTTGCCAAATCTTTGGTAAGAAAAAGAAGTTCAGGACAAATAGCTCTAGCTTCAGTGAGGACTCTGACCTCACCATTCTCAGAGCTACTTCACAACCATTTCCAACTCACCAGCACCTCCTACAACCTAGAGAGGAGCACAAACAGACCTGTATTAATCTATTATTGTTAAACTTTGTGGCCCATTAGTCTTTTGAGTAATCACTTCTGTGAGTTTTCACACCCTCACTCTACCTGATAACTTCCAAGTCCTCCACTGTGAGATATTAATCCAGGTGACATTTACTACCATCTAGACTTTTCTGCAGAACTAACTTGGAAGCGCTTATACTAACTGGCATTATTTTCCCAGAAAACATATTATTTTTCTCCTCTCAGGTCATTGCTAGAACCAGTAAAAACCTGAAGGGTCCTTTTTGATCTACTAGAAGCAGCTCACATTTGTCCTATGGATGACACTCAGTGCTTCCACAGCAGCAGTCACAACTTGGATGGGCCCTTTGGGAAAGAAAATTAAGGAAAGACTTCTTATAAGTCAAAGTCAGTCAGTTGGCACCAAAGAATGCTCTGCATGGGAGCACAACTCCTTCATTTGTCCTGTCCTTCCATTCACCCAGGCACTGGTGCTGCCACATGGGCTGCTGGGCTACACGAGCCTCTCCTGGGACCAGGGCTGTCACTCTCATGGCTCAGAAGTAATTCAAATGATGACCCATGATCAAAAAACCTTTCTCTTTAGTACTTTTTATTCTAGTACTAAATTAAAAATGTGTTTTATTCAAGCTTCTGTGGCTCAGGGTGAGATTTGAACACCAACTTTTCCAAAAATCTGTTACTGACACCAAAAATAACAATTAAACTTCAGCTGATTAGTCTTTAGTTAAACCTGCAAGGAACAAGGAACTAGTTCAGAGTCCAAAATCCCTACATTATTTAGTCTTATTATTAGACACTTCAAGGTGAAGCAAAACGCCACACCTGAGCCAGTGTGTTTGTAAGAGCACAGGCTGGTGGTTCCACAGATCTATGTTCTGCCTCTAACAATGATCTGTGGAACACTTTCGGGTTGTGTCTGTCACTGTCTGTGACAGAGGCATCCGTGGCCTGTTCAGGGACTCGCTGGAAATGCAGTGTTCAGTGTGAGAACCCTGTTCAGTGCCTGCACAGCTCAGGACTCCCCACCCACATCTCTCAGGTTCTGGCCGCAGCCTTGGTTCCACTGAGGAACTGAGCACTTTGCAGGCAGAGCTGCTCTCACTCAAAGCTCAGGACTTGCTCACTCACCCCAGCACAACCCAACTACCATGGCTCACAAAACAAGACAAGACTGTTTTTCTCTCTTTATTGACTGATGGATTCTCAGGCAGATCTGTTAATTACACTGTTAAATAATAGTTAAAAACAAACCAAGGCCAGAGGAGTTTGAAGTGAAGTATCTAAACTGAAGCAGAAATTGGGAAGGAAAAGGCAGGAGAAGCTGGGCTGGGGTCTCCACTTGTGTATCACTGCAGCTCAGACACCCCAATGGCCACTGTTGTGACCCCAAGCCAACAGATTCCAAGGCCTGGCTCAGATGGGACGTTGTCTAGGTAAGGAAACAGTTGCCCAAATGTAGCCAGATCAGAAGAGAACAGCTCTGTCCAGACACAGAGGTGCAAGGCAAGTCGAGGGGAAGCAGTATTGCAGCAATCCTAGAACGCAGCCAGAGGGAGCAGCAGCTGTGCCCCGCCGTGGCCAGGCCTGGGGCTCCTCAGCTCACACGTTGTGGGTCCGTTTGGTGAGCTGCGGGTCCTCATCCACCAGCTTCGACTTGAGATGCTCCTTGTAGGCAAGGATGTCCCCTTGCCACTTGGTGATTGTCTGCTTCTCACAGACCCAGATCTCCTGTGCCACCTGAGAGACAACACACCACGACGAGGAGAGAGGTTTGCAGTACAAATTTTTATAATCTTACCAAAAGTATAAAGTTAACTAAAAACTACTCTCTGAAGTCTTGCAAGAAAAGTTTGATAACTTTCACATTTAGACTATCAAAGAAAAGTATCTACAGGGAAATATTTTCCCTGGTGTTTTCTGCACCAGAAATACAGGCCCCTCTGTATTTCTGGTTTTGTTCATGGACTAAGATGAAAAGCCTTTCTTGCTAAATTGGTAATTGAAACAAAGTAGTTCTTGACCTGAACTACTTGGATCTACCACAGTGAAAAATAAAATAATATCTGAACTTGCAGCCAAAGCTATAGCGGATCGATCAGCACTTCACATTTGTGGTGGTTTTTATTTTATTTTAAGTACCTAAAGTTTTCCTGGGCTAGCTCAGCAATTGTTTAACATAGCAGTAAGGGAATTGCGATTTCTTTTTCACTCACCCATCTTTTTGGAATGAGTAAGAGCCAGCCAGTTGAAAACACCTTGTTTTCATGACTAAAATGTTAGAAAGGTGCTCTGACAAAACTCACAACTGTCCTTACCTGTTGGATGAGTCTGAAGTCATGGCTGACAAGCATCATTCCTCCCTCGAACTCATTGATAGCATCTGCCAGTGCATCTATGGTTTCTATGTCCAGGTGGTTGGTGGGCTCGTCCAGGAAGAGCATGTGAGGGTTCTGCCAGGCCAGCCAGGCAAAGCACACACGGCACTTCTGCCCATCAGAGAGGTTCCTGATGGGGCTCACCTGCCCAACACACACATGGCTTGCAGCTCTGCAGGGACCTGACAGCTTGCCACCCTGCCCCAAACCACCTGGGTCTCATCTTGGGCTCCCAGCAGCTCCACAACACAAGAGTCAGCCTTACATCTGCATCGACCTCAGTTAGCCTTACACCCACACCAGCCCCAGTTAGCCTTATACCCACACCAGCCTCAGCCTTACACCCACACCAGCCCCAGTTAGCCTTATACCCACACCAGCCCCAGTTAGCCTTATAGCTACACCAACCTCAGCCTCACATCTGCATAAACCTGTTAGCCTTATACCCACACCAGCCTCAGTTAGCCCTATACCCACACCAACCTCAGTTAGCCTTATACCCACACCAACCTCAGTTAGCCTTATACCCACACCAGCCCCAGTTAGCCTTATACCCACATCAGCCTCAGTTAGCCTTATAGCTACACCAACCTTCTCCCACCCTGGGAAAAAGGGAATTCCAGGGGTTTCTGAAGGACTGTACACAGCAAGACCCAGCTTGTGCCAAAGGTGTGTAAGGACAGTTAATTGGTATGACTGGTATTCACCGACACAACAATCAAACTACTCTCAACTTTTGCAGTGATAAATGGGCAAAACCAATGTAAAAATCAATGCTGAGCTGCAGCAGTGTGGACAACTGTCACACACAGGACGTATCATGTACAGGAGCGTGTCATGCTGGGCCTTGGAGCACCATGGGTGATCCCACCCTCTTGCCTGAGCCAAGTGGACCCTACAAACATCTGAGAATCTTCTAGATTCTCTTCTGCCTGGCATTCATCTCGGAAATAAGAGAAGCAAAATAGTTCAAATTATAATTAAACATGCTCAGGTCTAGCAATATACCAGAACTTGCTTTCTTTTCACCTGGAGTGTGAGGGAGTCACCCCTTCCAACCCACACACTGCTGTGATCCAAAGAAAGTTTCCATAAGCTGTGAGTTAATTTTTTCTGTAATTTCAAAGGCAGAGATGGAAAAAGCATTTTGATGCTGTGGTGTGGCATGCTGCATGCTGAATCACACTGTCAGGTATCAGTAAAGTAACAGAAAACACAAAACCTCTGCTCCCCTAATGAACAAAAAGCAAACCTCAACAGCTAATACTCACCTGCTGCTTCCCTGTCAAACCATATCTGCCAATGATTTTCCTCATCTCCTCCTTCTCCTTGATCTCTGGGTAGCATTTCAGCATGTACTCCAATGGTGAGAGGTCCAAGTCCAACTGCTCTTGCAAGTGCTGACAGAAAGGAAAAGTCAGCTTCAGGCTGTGCAGGCCAACCACTCCATGGCCCTAAGCACTCCCCCCTTGCACCCCTCTGGTACCAGGGGAGCAGCTGAACGCATGAGCCAATAATCCCACCCACAAACAGCCTCTGTGCCCAACTACTAGGGAATAATTTAATAACTGCCATTTGAGGAACAGGAGTCTGCTCCAGAACAGGAGGCTTGTTCACCACCAAACACAAGGCACCAGCTCTGCTGCAGCAGGTGGGAGACTGAACAGGAAGGACCACAGCCAGGCTCCCTGCAGGGTGAGAACGCGAGCTGGAGCCCATTCCATGGAACAGCTCCTTCCCCCATCTCCAGACACAGAAAGGCAGCACTGAGAGAGGCCTTAGAAGCAGAACTGGAGGGACAAGGTTCCTCATTCCTGACAGCTTTTTCCTCAGGATTCCCTGTCCCCTGGGGCTGCTGTAGGGAGTACCTGGTGGTATCTACCGATCTTCACATGCGAGTGCTTGCGAATCATCCCATCTGTGGGCAGCAGCTAGAAGGGGAAGATAAAATCATTTCAGCAGGAAAGCCCTCCTCTTGTAGTATGCCAGAAATACAGAATCCAGCCCTCGCCAGTCTGGCACAGGGGAGACAGTCTGAACAGGTAATATGAGAGAAAAAGCTCTATGTTTCACAAGACCACAGGACTTCTAAGGCCTGACCAGGGTGTTCTGGAAAAAAAGCGCACTTTGCTGAAGACTCTTCCAAAAGCAAAGGCCCAGAGCAGGGTAGACAATGCACAGAGCAAACCTCTCCTGTGAGCAGCTTCAGCAGTGTTGACTTTCCAGCTCCATTGGGTCCAACAAGAGCTACACGAGTATCCAGGTCAATCCCAAACTCCAGGTTATTATAGATCCACGGCTGCGAACCACAAAAACCACAAAACATTTTCAGTACTCTCCAGAACCTCCCCGCTGCACCTGTAATGCTCTGTCCCCAGCAGGCCCAGCATTAGCACTGCCAAGAACTTTGCTCCACTAGCCATATACTGCAGCCCCCTCAGGAAGCTCAGCCAAAAGTCTCCCACTCCCAAAGAAGCAGGAATACAAGTGATCTCTGTATGCATAGTCCCATACTCACCCCATCCTTGGTGTATCTGAAGCTGACATTCTGCACCATGATGACGGGAGGGGGAATTTTCCCACAGGGTGGAAAGTAGAATGACAAAGTCTGTTAACACAGAATATCCACCTGTGAGACACCCAGATCATGGGACAGCCCACTCATTCCAGTATAACCATGCCTCACTACCAACATCAGCTGTAGACCAAGGCACCAGATTGTGCCTTTTTATAAGCCCTTCTTGCAACTCACTCAGATTTATTCTGATGAGTTGCCTGCAAGCTCATCTGCTGGCCAATAAACCCCTATTTCTTTTCCTTTGAAACAAATGTGGGTCTGCATTCTCAACACAAGTAAAAGGTGCACTGAGCATCCTCTCCTATCTCCTATGAGCCCTAGGCATTCCTTTCTGATTTTTGCAAAACAGCCTTATTAATAAGACAACTCCACTTCCCCCCCACTAGAAAACTCCTCCTTCTCATTGTTCAGCATTACTCCATGCTGAGTACAGGCATACTTGGCATCAAGGAGGGGTATCTTGTTCTTGCTACCAGCTCTGTCAGCCCTTCCCGCTGTCTGCTGAAGACCCTTCTCCTCCTGTAGTCCATGTTTCAAATACAGATCTCTAGATGCAATTCCACATCTGATCTTACCTTATCATTCACAACTCTCTCTGTCAAGCCAGAAGCCATCATTTTTTGAAGGGTCTTCTCCTTGCTCTGAGCTTGCCTGGCCAGCTTTGCGCTACCATGGCCAAACCGTGCAATGTAATTCTGCAAAGAGTCAGCCAAAAGGCACAGTGATAAGGCTGATGAGGGGCAGGAATGCCCACTGAAAGGGTAGGAGGGTGCTTGTGCAGATAGGCAGGTACCTTCATATGAGCGATCTGGTCTTGCTCCCAATGGAATCGCTTCATTTGATTTTCCTCTAGCTCTAAGCGGGTCTTTACATACTGATCATAATTTCCCTGGAAAGAGAGCATGGCACATCAGGTGTGTCCAGAGAACAGCCCCTGTTCCTGCTCTGGTTACGCAGGGCTCTGTTCACTCACCGTGTAGTACTTGAGTTTGCGGTTGTGCATGTGGATGATGTTGGTGCAGACGCCATTCAGGAAGTCCTGGGAGTGGGATATCAGCACAAGAATCCGCTTGAACCTGTGGCACCACGTAAGTTATTACAGACTCAGTTAGGAAAAGAAATCCCATTTGTTAGCCCTGATGGTGACCAAGGCATTATATGCATGCTCTGGTAAATAGCAGTGAAGCAGCTACAACC